CATAAAAGCAGCATCTGTTAAATTGTCAGCAACATTTCCTACTAGGATCAACTCTCGGAGTGAGGAGCATATTCCATTAGATGGATCAGTGTAGGGGTTAGCAAGCGTTTTCTGTAAAGGGCCAGATGGAAACTCTTTAAGGCTCTGCAGGCCACTGAGTCTCCATCACCACATACTCAAACCCTCCCCTGTAGGAAGAAAGCAGCCCTAGACAACATGTCAGTAAATGAGCATGGCCATATTCCCAGAAACCTTTCTTTATGGATGTGGAAGTTTGTATGTCATGTACTTCTCATGTGTCACAAGATAAGATTCTACTTTCCATGTTTTCAACCATTTAAACATGTAAAAGCCATTCTTAGCTCATGGGTTACACAAAAACAGGCAGCAAGAAATCTCGTTTTTAGACCAGCAGCAGCTGACCCCTGGATGGAGCATTAGAGCTTGGGTGCATATCCCACCCCAGGGCTTCCAGGAGAGGGAGTGCAGGCTGATGCCACCTCCATCCCCATCTCTCTAGGGGAGAAGGCGGAGCTGGTGCTGTATGAAGTTTGGCTGCAGATCCTGGGCCAGCACTACAACACGGCCTTGGAGGACAAAACCAGCCCTGACTTCTGGGCACTTCAGGGGCAGCTGGCGAGATGGGTGAAGTGGCGGGATGAAGTAGGGAGGTCAGGGAAGAGGCCTTGGAAAGATGGGGGATGACTGGACAAGACTTTGTTAGAGCTGTGACCCTCTTCATCCTCTCCTGATCCCCCAGCTGACCCTTGTCCTCAGACCTCTACAAAACTTTGACCAAGTGGTGGTGGAGGAATTCTGGTGGGTCCAGGGTAGCCCTGGGTGGCCCAGGGCTCAGACCTGGGGTCTGGGGTTGAGGGCAGGAGGCTGGAAGAGATGACCTCCCTTAGTCCCCTCAGGCTGCCTAGCCCCCTGAAGTGGGATGATCCTCCCACCAGGCTGGATCCACTGACCACGAGAGTGGGTGCCACCTTCTTCAGGGCGGTGCCAGCCCAGGCTCTCATGTGGGACTGTGTGCGCCAGGGTCTGCACATCCTGGGGGATGCAGAGGGCCTCTTGGTAGAGATGGTCATCCCAGACCTCAGTCAGTACCTCCTTCCCTCTGTAGGCCCCCTCCATCTGTCCACCTGCCTCCTCCCTTGGGCTCACTGCCTCTGCATGCCCTGATCTGAAACCTGCCTCCCCTCCTCATGGAGCCCGTGCAGATGCTCCTAGCCCCAGCTCTCTGGTCCCACAGGAACTTCTGGGCCCAGATTCTGCCTTTTCAGAAGTCTGGGAGGCAGGGCCCCCGCCCTGGCCATAGCCTTCTTGGTCTGCTCTAGGCACTCCTAGCCCCGAAGCTGGTATTTTAAAAAGTGATTTCTGGATATTTAGAAAGTCATCTGGTGTGAGGAGCTGGGAGGGTCCAAGGATAGAACCCACAAGAGGAGGAAGATTGAAAAGGGGTCAGAGTGGGAGTGGGGGGCTGTTGAGGGCAAGGCCCACTCCCAACCCTGACCCCCAAACCCAGCCACAATGCCAGTCAGCCTCAGGCCAGAGGGTGTGAGCAACGGGGGCCTTGGCTGCTCTACAGTGGATCAGAGCCACTGGGTGTGGGGGGTCTTCCAGGGGAGGTGTGGGGATGCCCGGGCAAGGTAAGGCAGGCTCCCAGGGCAGAGACTGAGGCTGACCCCTGCAGCCCCCCTACTGCAGCGGGGGAACACAGGGATAGGCAAGGGTCTTAACCTAGAAAGCCCCAGCAGCTCCTGTGCCCATCAGGACACCGCTGAGGCTTGGTGGTGGTGGAACCCAGGAATGGTGTTTGAACCCACGATCTGGAAGGGGAAGCCAAGGACACTCCTGGCCTGTAGGCTCCCCTATCTGCAGGCAGTGGGCAGGCCCAGTGAGGGGACCCCAAGAGCCTAGACCATGAGCTTACCTGGCCAAAGACAGCAGCCAGCACCAAGACATCAAAGAGGGCGGGTAAAAAGGTCATCACATCGGGGTTGACTGCAGTCAGCACCAGGTTCCTCTGTACTTCTGGAAGACACAGGCCTCTCCTTCCTATCCCTGAAGTGCCCCTGCCCCCACCCCAGCACCCCGAAGACCAGCCTAATAGATGCACTTGTCCTGGGTCAGCCCTGCTGTCCAAGCAACTGCACATGTTTTAATAAACTGGTTATCAGACTGCTTATGACAGGTATGAGGGTGGTCTTGCAACAGGGTGGGCACTTCATGGTTAGCCAGTTGCCAGGCCTCACTGGATGCCTCTGTGGCTCCTGTACCTTGGCCTGTGGGTGGGAGGTTGCCAGGACCATGGTCCCCTACAGAGGAGCCTGCGGCCTTGGGGCCCATCAGTCTCCATGGGTCTGATTTGATCTGCTTGGTTTGTTGCAGGGAAGCCTGGGCAGAATTCTCCAGGGCAGCAGGGGTCGGGGCGGCAGGCTCCATGAAAGAGGTCAAGTTAGCATTGGGAACACAGGGGCATCAGGTTGCTGCGACAGTGACCTAAGCTGGAGGGGGTTAACTCTGGGGACCTCTATCTGTGATATACACTTACTCCCTAGAAATGCCAAAGGTGAGCTGGCCCTTGAGATAGCCCTGGTCCCTTTTGTCCCACCTGGCCACTTCTGAAAGCCCACCACCCTCTTATTAGCTCAGGAAGGCTGCCTGGAGGTGGAGTCCTTTAAGAGAAAGGAGGAAGTAGGGCCTGGTAAGAACCTGTCCTAGGGACGCACATATGCTTTCCTGCCGTGACAGCCTGGGCAGGGGAGTGCAGGCCTGTTTCTCCCATGGGACAGGCCTGAGCTAGAGCTCAGGTCCCTTTGGAGACCACTTCTCACCCGAGACTTTGTAGAAACAGTGAGAGGGGTCTGCTCCTGTGCCAGCTTTCAGTGGTGGGACAGAATTTTCTCTTTCATGTTAGAGTGGGAGAAGAAGTCAAACAGGCATATACAAGTACCAATTTCTTCTAATTTCCTATTATACTGCAATAGTTCTAAAACTACTAACAGTTGGGTAACAAGAAAAAAAACAGTTATCTGGTTGATGTATTCTTTATTATGTAACAATTATTTCTGAGACAAAATCCAATTCAAACATATTACTGAGGATTCTATATTAGTATATTTTGGAAATGGTATAATCCAAACCTGATTTTCTAATATATTTTCTTATATAACACTTAAGGAATTTTTCACTCCCATTATTTGGCTCTGGAAAATCTTTACAGGAAACATTTGTTACACTAGAAATCAAAATTTAAGTACAGTTGTTAGGCATAGTTAAAAGGGATGATATACACAAACTATAATAATTACAAATCAGTACTTCTTTTGAATACACATTTGAATGTAAAAGCTTTTAAAATAATCAGTGTCTTAGATAAATCTGCAAGAACTGATTTTAACATCTCCTTTACTTTCTAATGCTTTTCAGAAAAAATTCCTTTCTGATTCATTCAGCAGCAAGAGCCCAAAAATGGTGTTCCAAGCCAGGATTCACCTTGTCCTCTTCAGAAATGACCTGAAGAGCTTTTGGATTGGTTAAAAATATTGCCTGATGGAATCTTAGGGTAAACCCGAAGAGCTAAAAGCACTGAATCCAGAGATCAGGTCTCTCGGTCGTGCTGGGGACACCATCAACCACTTGGGGTTAAATTGTATTGCTATGAATGAGAGGTGACTCTGAGGGGCTTTAACCAGGCCGGGGCTAATGAAAGGGTTTCAAACATCAGTAAGAACAGGAAGATCAGGGTTGAGAAGAGTGACAAGAAATCCGGAATGGTCTGAACCATTTTACACTTGATTCTATTTCTTAGAGCTCTTTGGGAAACAGGCAAGGATTTTCCTGGATAGTGTTTGCCCATGAAACAAATGAGTCATCTCGCTAAATGATTCAAAAACATTTCCTGTTGGTTTCATACTACTAATAATTATAATATTTTAATGGATAGGAGAAATTATGGGTTTAAAATTAAATTCTCCGTTAATGCACGTTTTAATAAACTGGTTATCAGACTGCTTATGACAATGTTAGTACCACATATTCAACTGCTTTTAGTCCTTCCAGTCTTTCTCTTGGGCATAACTGGTGGTTATCTAATTTTTGCTACCTATCAATCACCTGTTTTGGACATTAACTGTCAATTACTGGCTGCAAAATATGTGTGTGCATATTTACATGAGATGTAACTATACAGATGCATGTTGAATTGCAGACAAGAGTTCCATTATTTCAGAGCTATACTCTGAATGTGAGACCTTTGTATTTATACACACATACCTCTCCAGCCCAACCCAACATTCATTCATATAAAAATATATGACTATTGTAGAATCCTTCATTTACATATCACTAAAAATATGTTCTTTCATTCTAACATCTTTTTATCTACCTTTGTCAACCAACATCATAAGACTGGGATATACAATCTTTTTATTAGTTATTTATTTCAAATTATTATTATTATTTTTTGAGACAGGGTCTTGTTCCGTTGCTCAGGCTGGAGGGCAATGGTGCCATCTGGGCTCACTGCAACCTTGGCCTCCTGGGCTCAAGTGATCCTATCTTAACCTCCCTAAGTAGTTGGGACTGCGAGAATAAGTCACCACGCCTGGCCTATAAAATCTTTTTAAAACACATTTCCTAGCAGAAATTAACTTTTTTTTTTAAAAGTCTACTTTTAAAGCAGCAGTTAGAAACTTTGTTCTTATGATATGTAAATAATACTGTTATATCAAACTGTGGATTTAAATATTTTTAATTTAAGTTCCTTTCTTATCTCTTAAAAAAATAAAACAGATTTCTGTGTTACTTAATGGCTTCTCCATTCTTCCAATTCCAAGGAATACAAAGGTCTCCATCTTGCATAACAGAGTAAAAATGTGAAATGCAGAGGTGCATCCCATGTAGGTAAGGCAGTGATTGTTCTAGAAGTCTCTTACAACAATCCACCATTTGTGTACTAGAAATGCTGGGCTCTTTATATAACTTCTCCAAAGAAAATTTCTTTGTTGATGCCTGTATCAATTCATTTTCAATAACCTTTAACCTATTATATAGAAAATAAAAATATTGTCATAAGCTATAACCAAATAAAAGAACACATAATGTAAATATATTCTTACATATTGGGGCCATAACTCTGCACTCACAACACCGAAAATGCCACCCACAAAGGCCAAATTATACGCTTGGAAGACATGCCAATAGCCATCATGTGTTAAATCTTTTGAGTTTCTGTCACATGGATCTCTAAAAGTATTTGGTAACGTTTTTAGCAGTAAAGGGCTAAAAATAACATAAAATTTAAAAAGCTCTTATATTGCCTTACCTAGCAGCTGTTAGTGACTGAAGGAAGCAGAAAATGAAGACTATAAAACCCCTAGTTTTAGGACCCACCTAAAGTTTAACCCTTGGGCAGTAATGCTGTCTAAAGATTTCCCAGATAAAAGCAGACTCACGGAAAACCAGGACCCTGAGGAGGACAGGTTCTCTTCACTCTTCCTCTCCTACCTCACCAGTCCTCTGTCTGTTCCCTCCCCTCTGCCTAGGGTTACAACTCTCTTATTCCATCAGGGGCTTCAGTTCAGGTCTACAAAGTATACAACTCTAGGCAGAACTCAGTGTCTCAAATACTTTCTCCCACAGGTGGCAAGTGCTTAGGGATATGGTGTTTTGATAAGTGGATTCAATGCGCTACATCTAGACCAACACATGAGTTACTCAGCAAGCCCATTTAACAACATGAATAAAGCAAAACTGCCATGGTCGTGTCCCTGAGCCAGTCTATTTAAAATACTTCATTGGTTTAAAATGTCTAAATATCTTACATTTAATTACCCTTAAACTCTGCGTAGAAAAGTAGGTACTATAAAATTTCCATAAACTAGACAGTAAAAAACAGAAATGGTCATAGCAGTTAGTTATCCTGGCCTATAATACTGATCACTTTCTCAAGTGCTGTTTGCTTTTTCTGTAAGATTACTCTCCTACACAGTGCTGCTTAGAGATTCAAGCAGACAGACAGCAGTCAGGGCTGATGGTGCTGAAAATGTTTCACAGCTGGGCCTGCTTCTAATCTCTCCAGGATTAGACAGAAAGAACCCTTAAACTTCTATCAATAGGAGGGGATGAGTAACTTTTTCTGTAAACGTATTTTTCACTTGTCAAGAAAAGATACTAACAACGATGCTTAGAAATGAGAAGCCTTGCAGTGTGACCATGTTACTGCATAGTTCGCCAACAATATATCTTTAAAATCTGGGCAAGACTCTCATTCTCATTCCTTTTAGAAGCTTACAGTCTCATCCTAGGGTTTCCCAGACCCATGGGTCACAAGCTTTATACAGGAGAACCCATCAGTTCTTCTGAGGTGCAATCTTAGAAAAGCATTGAGAAGGCAGCCCTTGTTAAGGTTCCCCAGGGCTGTCCCCTCAACAGGAAAATAACATGTACAAGCCTTTCCTCATCCTTGGGTGCCTCTACAGTCAGCAGGAAATTTTTTTTTTTTTTTTTCCTGAGATGGAGCTTTACTCTGTTGCCAGGCTGGATGCCAAGTGGGCGTGATCCTGGTCACTGTAACCTCTGCTTCCCAGGTTCAAGCGATGTATCCTGGCCTCAGCCTCCCAAGGTAGCTGGGATTACATGCATGCACCACCACGGCCCGGCTATTTTTTGTATTTTTTAGTAGAGGCAGGGTTTTGCCATGTTGGCCAGGCTGGTCTTGAACTCCTGACCTTAGGTGATCCACCCCGCTCACCTCCCAAAGTGCTGGAATTACAGGGTTGAGCCCACGTGCCTGGCCTTGGAGATAGGGTCTCGCTGTTGCCCAGGCTGGAGTATCAGTGTCGTGACCATGGTTCACTGGCAGCCATTGACCCACCCCAGGGCTTAGGCAAACCTCCTGCCTCAGCTTCCCAAGTAGCTGAGACTACAGGTGCACACCACCATACCCAGCTAATTTTTAAATTTTTTGTAGAGATGAGGTCTCACCATGTAGCCCAGGCTGGTCTTGAACTCCTGGGCTCAAGTGATCCTCCTGCCTTAGCCTGCCAAAGTGCTGGGATTATAAGTGTGAGCCACCATGCCCAGCCTTTAGTCACTGTTTCTACTACATGCATCAGAACTACTTAAACATTCTTCTATTAGTGTACATTTTGATTGTTTCCAACTTATCTAAGTGATTTTAAAATTTGAAATATATGATACAGAGTAAAAGGAAACATCTGAGTGGGTTACTACAAAAACATAAGTGGGGAATGTCCCTGCGAGGGAGAGCTGGCTGATCCTCAGGCGCAGTTTACTCTGGGTTGTTACCACCCTACAGAAGAACTGCGAACTAGGCTATCACCAGCCTCTAAAGGACTGGGGGCTCCACAGGCAGCAAACACTGTCTACATGCCAGCCAGGCAGTGCCAAGAGACAGGACCAACCAGTCATACAGTTTTGGGTTGTACATACCAGCTTAGAAGAGTGTGTGCTTTCCCCCCCCCTTTTTTTTTTAACTGTTCAGCAAGCTGAGGGTCCTGCACAGCTGCTACTCTGAGGACCCTGTGAGCATGGGTGGCCTCTGGCTCCTTTCCTTTTGAACTAGAACAACTGAGAGCTTTACTCTTTTTTGTTAGGTTGGTGTAAAAGGAATTGCAGTTTTTGCCATTTTTTTTTAATGGCAAAATACTGCAATTCCTTTTGCACGAACCTAATAAAATAAACTATGTTTCCACTTAAGAATCTACCTTATAAGTTAAAAAGTATCTGAAAACCACTCTCTAGGAACATGCTTCATGGAAGGAAAGAAGTTAGTCTGCATCACTGCTCTGCGAATATAATGAAGGTGTCTTACTAGGGCAGGGACAGCAGAGCAAAGGAAGGAAAGACAGCAAAGGCGAGGAGAGGCTCCTGGGCCCAGAGTCAGGGGCACAAGGATGATGACTGAGCAGGAAGGAAGGCTGGGACTAGCAGCAAGTGCTTCCTCTCCTTGGGGGCTAAGTATAGGGATTAGGACTCTGGGGCCCAGAGCCAGAAAAAGGCTAAGGAAGCAGGTGAAAGGTCAACGGGTATTTCCTGAAGGCCCCCTGTGTGCCAGGCACCCATCCCAGTTGGCACCGGAGGGAGCAAAATAGACTGAAGTCTGCCCTCAGCGAGCTTACCTTCTTTTGGGAAGGAGAGAGAGAGAAAACACATTAATAAGGAAACAGCAAATTTGTTGAGGTGGATGGAGAAAGGCAGGCCGGCTGAGGTGGAGAGGAGAGTGCAGCAGAGGGTGGGGGCTCCATGCTGCAAGTTGTGTGGCCAGAGAAGGTAGAATGTGAGCAGGGCCTGAGGAAGCTGCAAGTTCTGAGGAAGGAGGACCTCAGGCTGGGTGAAAGCACACAGGCCCAGGAGCGGACGCATGTCAAGAGTGCTCGAGGAGGATAAAAAGGCTGGAGCAGAGCGAGTGAGAGGAGAGTCCCAGGAGCTGAGCTGAGACAAGCAAGGGAGTGGGCAGAGGGTCTGTGGGCACTGGGCAGAGGAGTGATAGCTCTGACTAGGTTCCCACTGCTGCTCTGATGAGAGTCCACCGCGGGTTGGGGAGGTGCTGAGTGTGGAAGCCTGAAGACCTGACAAGAGGCCATCACAAAATGATGGAGGCTCAGACCAGGTGCAGCAGGAAAGGAAAAGAGAAGAGGTGAGTTTCTTTCCGGGTCTGCTCTGAAGGTGGACTGGGGTAGGGAGTGAGACAGGGGAGAGGAATCAAGATGACTCGCTGGTTTTTATTCGCCTGAGCAACTGATAGGACGGAACATTCACAAATTGACCTATTTGAATGTTTTTCTTTTTACTTTGCTTTCTCACAATGTAATAGCATTACTCGAAAGCTATAAAATGGTCATAGAGAAAAAGAGAAAAAGCAGCTGATAGGTTATAGCAAACAAAATCATCAGTCCTAATGATTAACAGTTGGCTAGAATTGCTCTTGAGGGTTAAAGCAGACGTAAAATTGAGAAAAGAAATAGCACTAACAAATACTTAACAGCCAATCAAGAGGTAGGGTGTGATAGGATCTGGCCTACTGAGTTGTCATCAGTTCTATAAGGAAAACAAAAGAGATGCTGCTCCTTCATGTATTTTATACATAAAATGATCTCGTTGTCTCTTGCTAAAAGAATGGCTTCCATGGTTAGTTGCCATCCCTTCTATTTATTTATTTTTCTGAGACAGAGTCTCGCTCTGTCGCCCAGGCTGGAGTGCAATGGTGTGATCTTGGCTCACTGCAACCTCTGCCTCCCGGGTTCAAGTGATTCTCCTGCTTCAGCCTCCTGAGTAGCTGGGATTACAGGTGTGCACCACCACGCCTGGCTAATTTTCATATTTTTAGTAGAGATAGAGTTTCACCTCAAGTGATCTGCCCACCTCGGCCTCCCAAAGTTCTGAGATTACAGGTGTGAGCCACCAAACCTAGCCTCTCTCTATATTTAAAATTCCTGGCTTTTAAAATGAGCACTTTGTGGAAACTGAACCTCAAATGAACAGTGAGGCAGGAGAACTGCTTCCACTGGCACCCTGCTAAACAACCAGGTCCCATTACCCTGTCCTCCTCTCTTCTCCTTGAAACTTCCCTCCATGGACATGTGGAATGGCATTCTCTCCAGCTTCCATCCTGTTCCCTGCCATTGCCTTCCCTTGTCCGCTATGCTCCCAGGTGTCAGCTTTGGCTTTTCCCACTGGATTGTCCTGCAGCTACCACTGGCAAATTTATAGCACTCACATCTCCTACTAGAAACAATTCCAGGAGGCAGAGATCATGTCTAAGTCTTTCTATCAATGGCATTGATCTCAGCTTTGGGCACATAACAGTCATAGTAAATGATGGCTAAGTAAATGACCTCATTTCTTCATAGGTGATACATAAAACAATATCAAGCAATATCTTACCACCTACAAAACAGGAAACTGTTGGCTATAATAGGACTCCTTCAAAGATACAAACAACATAAAAACAACACTGCTTAGGAACTAAAATGATACATTGTTTTTTTTTTGAGAAAGGATTTCATTATGTCACCCAGGCTGGAGTGCAGGGGTGCGATCACAGCTCACTGCAGCCTTGGCCACCGAGGCTCAATCAATCCTCCCACCTCAGCCTCCTGAGTAGCTGGGACACAAGCAAGTGCCACCATGCCTGGCTAATTTTTTTTTTTTTCCCACCATATTGCCCAGGGTTTCACCATGTTGCCTAGCCTGGTCTTGAACTCCTGGGCTCAAGTGATCTCCTTGCCTCAGCCTCCTAAAGTGCTGGGATTACAGACTTGAGCCACTGTGCCCGGCCTAAAATGATTTTTTAAGGTTTCTTCTCAACTTAATTAAAATGCAGATAAAGTTTTCTTTATATCAACAGTTAAAAGGTTTATTATTTTTCTTTCTCTCTCTCTGTCATCCAGGCTGGAGTGCAGTGGCGTGATCTCGGCTCACTGCAAACTCCGCCTCCTGGGTTCAAGCCGTTCTCCTGTCTTGGCCTCCTGAGTAGCTGGGACTAGAGGTGACCGCCACAACACCTGGATAGTTTTTGTATTTTTAGTAGAGACGGGGTTTCACCATGTTGGCCAGGCTGGTCTCAAACTCCTGACCTCACAAGTGATCTGCCTGCCTTGGCCTCCCAAAGTGCTGGGATTACAGGCGTGAGCCACTGTGCCCGGCTTAAGATGTTTTTTTAAGGTTTCTTCTCAACTTAATTAAGATACAGATAAAGTTCTTTTTATATTAACAGTTTGAAATTTTTAAAGCAATATTCTTGTTAATCAAGAAATAATCAATATTTTTGCTTGTTGTCAGTCTTTTCCATCTGGAAAATTCCTTGCTGATATTCTTATTTTTCATTCTGCTCCTGAATTGACTTTTATATTAAGAAGCTGAACTTCTCAAACTGAGGTCCATGGTGGTAACATAATTTAGGTAGGGAATAAATAAATATGGAATATCTACAAATTAGTCAATTTCCTAAGCTTCATACTGTTTCCAGGTCCCATATTTATGAGTTCCAAATATCTGAAGTTTTCAGTTAGACTGAATGATCTGACTTTACAGAGGACTGGCAGTACTTACTCTTCCTTTCTTTTCATGTTCTCTCTTGCCTGCTGAGCTTTGGTGAGAATAAACCACTGGAGATTTGCTGGATCACAGAGTGTTGGAATATTAAAATGCCCGAGTTCATGCAAGCTTGGAGCATATCTGTCACTGCAATAAAATATACATTAAAGGAAAAACCACTGACCCTCTCCTCTCCCCAACCAGAGAAAATGTTTTATTAGTCCTCAGGAAAATTAAAAAAAAAAAAATCATCAAGAAAAGCCACCTCAAAAGTGCAGCAACTTAAAGCTTTGTTGCCCCCAAAGACACACTTCTTCAGGATCACGACCTACTTGCAAGCCCTCTGACCTTCCTTATCTGTTACATGCAAGGGGTGACCTGCTGCACAGTGAGGTTGTCAGAGCTAAAGACAGAATGCATATAAGTACCCAACACAGTGCTCGGCAAACAGTGTATACACCACAAATGTTGGCTACTGATTTACTATTAGTTTAATCTTATAATGTTTTCCATTGGATTGACTTTGCCCAGTAAATCTGCTCAGCAATATATTCAAAGAATGTTCTAGACATTAAATTCTTCAATCCTCCCATGCTGGCTTTTCTAGAGTGTAGAAGAGAGTTGCTAACACAAGTCGTGGCATTTTCTTCTTTAATTCTTAAGAACTACCCATTGAAATACAAAACAATTTAATGCATTTACACACACAACCCACCTAGACGAAGGAATAAAAGTAATCCTTCTATCTTAGATATTTACCTGTTAAGGATCATTTGTAAACCACGCAAACTTCGAGGGTGAAATGGTATCCTACTTTTCAACAGTCTATTATAAAACACATCAAGAAGAGAGTAATATTCTTCAAGTGTCAATACTGGCTGTAATTCTTCAATATAAACAACTTGTATGCCACCTAAAAGATAGCTTATTTGGTCTTCTAAAATCATCAGCCTCCTCTGAAGGTCAAAATAACTCGGCAATCTTTCAAAAAGCTACAGTGTTAACAAAGGGAAAGAAACAATTAGCTTTATGTTACTATAATTTAATTTTAGAATTCCAATAAATGGCATTAAGACATTTTTAACAAGAAAATGATTTTCACTGAAGGAAAGTTCAAGTAAGAGATAAAAAAAAAACCTTAATTGAATTCTGGAAATATTAATATTCAAAACAAGCCACTGTAAATCTTTGAGATTTTTAGATGGGAATTTGTAAAGTTCCAAAAAAAAATATGCTCCAAATAAAAGTAAGTCCTAATCCTAAGCACTATTATTTAAATATTTAGGTAAGAATCTTCAATTAGTTTAGAATTATTAAATGGTACAATAAAGGTTTTAGAAATAAAGTGTATGTATTTCAACTCAGTCTATTCCTTCACAATTTACTTTAAAGTAACTAAACTCAATTAAGTGCAATAAATATGATTGTGCACCTACCATATACGTAAGCACTGAGTTGGGCACTTGAAGGGTACAGATTGTAAGAGTTTGTCCCTGTTTGGTTGGCACTCACAGTTGGGGTACAAGGAAACAAAAATCCGAATTTGGCATACTAAATGCCAAATCAGGGTGAGTGGATACAGAGGAGGTTCAGGCAAAGGTTTCTAAGGGAGTCTAATTCGATCAATCTTAAATATGAAGTAAGATTTAGAAATGGCACGTGAATGTAAGGGCTGTTTTGGGGGAAGGAAAAAGAGCATGTGCAAATATGGAACCATGAAAAGGAGCAACATGTTTGGAAACAATAAGGAGTTTGGTATGGCTGGCATGTGACCTGCTGCGAGGGAAAGGAAAGAGCAAGGCTCAAGGGGGATGTAGGGGCTGGGTCAGGGAAGGACCACTAAGGACTTAAGATTTTCTATTAAAAGCCAGGGTCTTTTAGAAGAGTTGGAAGGCATTAAAAACTCTGCTATAATAAAAGCAATAGCTGCATAAAAATTCTACAAATTATTTATAATCTACTTTTAACGTCTTGTGGAAAATAATTTTACTCCCTATTTTTCAATTTTTCTATGGGTTACTCATGTATATATGGTAACTACATTTTAAAAACTTTTTGTTTTGAGATAATTCTAGATTCATATACCTTTAACTTAACAGTACATCTTATACAATTATTGGTATAATATTACAACCAGGAAATTGACATTGATACAATTCATTAATCTTACTCAGAGGTCATTAGTTTTACTTGTATGCATTTGTGTATTTTTCATATGTGTATTTACTTTATTATATGTGTATGGAGCCATGTGACACTGCTACAGTCAAAACACACAGGAATTCCATCATAGGGATCCTGTTTATAGCACTGACACCTCTGCTCCCCTCTCTCTACTTCCTGGCAACCACGAATCTTTTCTTCCTTTCTATCATTTTATTATTCCAAGGATGTTACATAAATAGAATCAAACAGTTTGTAATCTTTTGAGACTGACTTTCTCACTCAGCACAATGCCCTTAAGATCCATCCAGTTGCTGCATGTATCAATAGCTCACTCCTTTTCATTGCTGAGTAGAATCCTATGGTAGGGATGTACCAGTTTGTTTAGCTATTCACACACTGAAGAACATTCATTTTTTTCCTAGTTTTTGGCTATTATAAACATTCATGTACAGGTGTTTGTGTGAACATAATTTTTCATTTCTCTGCTGTAAATACCTGAGGGTGACTGCTGGGTCATGTTTAGTTTTGTAAGAAACCATTATAGTCTTTTTCCAGAATGCCTGTACCATTTTACATTCCCATCAGCAATGCATGAATGACCTATTTTTTCTGCATTCTCACCAGCATGTAACTATTTTTCATTTTAGCCATCCTGGTAAGTGTGTAGTGATAATGCACTGTGGTTCTTTCTATCTATCTATCTAAATCTATCTATCTATCTATTATCTATCTATCTATCTATCTATCTACTACCTACCTACTATCTACCTACCTACCTATCTATCTAATCTATCTTTCTATCTTCTATTTATTTTGAGACAGAGTCTCGCTGTGTTGCCCAGGCTGGAGTGCAGTGGCACAATCTTGGCTCACTGCAACTTCCGCCTCTCGGGTTCAAGTGATTCTCCTGCCTCAGCCTCCCAAGTAGCTGGGACTATAGGCGCCTGCCACCATGCCCAGCTAATTTTTTTTTTTTTTTTTTTAAATTTTTAAGTAGAGACGGGGTTTCACTGTGTTTACCAGGTTGGTCTTGAACTCCTGACCTCGTGATCCACCTGTCTTGGCCTCCCAAAGCACTGGGATTACAGGCGTGAGCCACAGTGCCCGGCCAATGAATATGTTTTTATGTGCTTACATGTCATCTGTACATTCTCTTTGGTGACATGTCATTTCATGTCACCGTTTTTGGTTGCATTGGTTTTTTTAGTAGCCCTTTTTAGTGGTTTTTTTTTTTTTTTTACTGCTGAAGTTTGAGAGTTTTAGATTGCCCTTTTTTAGTTGGTTTTTTCTTTTCCTGCTGAAATTTGAGAGTTTTGAAATATATTCTAGATATAATGTCTTTGTCAGATATGTGGTTTGCAAGTATTTTCTACCAAATAAATATTTGATTTGAACAGACGCTTCACTAAAGAAGATATGTGGATGACAAATAAGCACATGAAAAGATGCTCACCATTATTTATTATTAGAGAAATGCAAATTAAACATTGAATGAGATTGTACCACAGAGCTATTAGACTGACTAAAATTAAAAAGATGACCATAGTTAAGTGTTGGCAGTTTTTCAAAAAGTTAAAATAGTCTACCATATGATCCAGCCATTCTATTTTAGGTATTTACCCAAGAGAAAGGAAATATATGTCCATATATTTGTACACAAATGTTCATAGCAGTTTTATTTGTAATAGTCACAAAGTGATACGACCCTATGTCCATCAACAGGTGAATGAATAAACAAACTGTGGTATATTTATACAATGAAATAGTACATAGTAATAAAAAGGAATAAACTTTCAATACACGCAACAGCATGGATGAATCTCAAAATGAGACAGTGAAAGAAACCAGACACAAAAGTTTGCAAGCCCTATGATTCCACTTACATAAAACTCCAAAACTAAGCTATAGTGACAGAAAGCAGACCAGTGGTTGCTTGGAGAGGGGGTGGTGGGATGGGAGGGAGTGTTTACAAAGGGCCATATGCTCACATATATGCCCAGGTGTTGGATACGTTTGCTATCTTGACGGTGATAATGGCTTCATGGGCATACATACATGTCAAAATACCATACAACACACAAGAAACATGTGCAGTTTATTAAATGTCAGTTATACCTCAATAAATCTGTTAAGAACAGGTAAAACCAAACAACAGAATATAGGCTTTCAGGCTGTGCTTCAGAAAAGAATGCAGTATTACCAGACAAAAACTGCCTTAAAAATCAGTCTTCCTTCTTAAGTATGTTAAGTATATGATATTTCAGCATCTGATCTGAAAACAGCTGACACTATGATTAAAAACATTAAAAAACAAAAACAAAAACAGAACAAAATTTTTTTTTGGTTCATTAACATTATAGCATTGTTGGAAATGAAAGTATATATGAATGACAAGAAGTTTTTAATTTTAAGGCTCTTTCTTACTTTTGTCCAGTGATGATGGACATCCATTGTTCCTAGCATCACATGGCCCACTGCACTCATGCCAGAACGGTCTGTAAATATGATTGTACACCCTGATGATAAAACACAAAACCTTTGGTCATGGTCGAGGTGCTTCATTCTTTCTGCATTGTGCCAATAGTGTATAAACTCAGGATTAAATTCAGTAGAAGCTTAAAGGCTAATTTTATGCCACTGCTTTATTCAAAGAACAGATTTAAAAGTTCAGCTATGATAAAGTTACTTGGTTTTTCCATTAAAATTTATAGATGTACATAGCAGCTAGGTGATTTTTTAAAAGAAAATGGAAAATGTTTACCTTTTGCTTTTTTAAGTGTTTCCAAATTCTGCTGTGCTAAGCGGCTTAAACTATGCAGCTGGCTACAGCGGTGGGCGACGCCCCAGCTCCTCTGCCACCTAGGCCAACAGAGCACACAAGCATGTTAGTAAGTGGCACCCCGAAGAAGGAGCAAGCACTCACCACAACTACTGGAGTCCTTGGGAAGCCAATGAGTCTCTTTCTGAAGCAGGCACATCACATGTTTTGATTGATCATATGTTTCTAAGCTAGCTAATTTTTAAAGAAGCAACCACATGGAAAATGAATTGTTTACCAGAGGGCAGAAATATTACTACTATGCTCAGGTATCCAAAGATTTAAAATAAGCAAATACATGATGTTTCTATTTAAAAATAAGATGATGAAATGGGAAAACTTTGAAAAAAGTATTTTTCTTTTTCACATTGTTATAATGATGATGGTTTTGTTTTAGATTCAAGTTCCAACTAGGAATTCCAGTTAGGCTTATCAGGTTCTCTTTTCTGTTTTTGAGATAGGGTCTCACTCGGTTGCCCAGGCGGGAGTGCAGTGGTGCAGTAATGGCTCACTGCAGCCTTGACCTCCTCTGCTCAAGAGATCCTCCTACCTCAGCCTCACGAGTAGCTGGGACTAAAGGCATGTGCCACCATGGCTGGCTACTTCAAAAATTTTTTTTGTAGAGACAGGGTTTCACCATGTTGCTCAGGCTGGTCTTGAACACCTGGGCTCAAGTGATCCACCAGCCTCGGCCTCCCAGAGTGTTGGGATTACAGGCATGAGCCACCGTACCTGACCTCAGGTTTTTTTTTTTTTTTTTTGAGACGGAGTCTTGCTCAGTCACCCAGGCTGGAGTGCAGTGGCCAGATCTCCGCTCACTGCAAGCTCTGCCTCCCGGGTTCACGCCATTCTCCTGCCTCAGCCTCCCGAGTAGCTGGGACTACAGGCGCCCGCCACCTCGCCCGGCTAGTTTTTTGTATTTTTTAGTAGAGACGGGGTTTCACCGTGTTAGCCAGGATGGTCTCGATCTCCTGACCTTGTGATCCGCCCGTCTCGGCCTCCCAAAGTGCTGGGATTACAGGCTTGAGCCACCGTGCCCGGCCGGCCTCAGGTTCTTTTTATCTCATTCTAGAGAAAGTGATTTTGATGAAATCATGTATATCTGCTCATTTCATAAATTTCATCAATTAATATTAAACCCCAGTGACACATGGAACCTGACATTGACACGATGTCAGAGGCCCTGCTGTGTAACTGTGAAGAGCACTGGTCTTCAGAAAACCCACCTTGGAGTTCTAATTCTGTGGTTTACTAGCTCTGTGACCTTGAACAAGCTGCTTTTAGCCTTCCTAAGGTTTTCACTTGCATGCATGCAAAGTGAGGATGTTTCCTGCTATACAGGTAGTAGACATCAAATGAGGTAATGTGTGTGAAGGAGTCCAGGCATTCAAAACAGGCTCTTAAGAAACACAGGTTCTTCTTTTATCCTAATACTGATTCTGATGAATGTCATTTCTGATAAAATGAAAACTTGTTTAAAAAATTGTGTTTTTCTTTAAACTACAATTTAAAAAGTAAAATATAATTTCAAAGAATATAATTTTTGATTATTTGACATTAAAAAAACTATTAAAGATGACAAGTATAATCTCAGATTTTACCGTTAAATGCTGTCTATCACTAACAGGCCTACGTTAGAAATGAAAACACAATTCATAGTTACACCTTTCTGTCTCCACAGAGTTGCGCTAAACACTTTTTAAGCAACGTAAGAAAGACCTCATGCCCATACCTCCAAATGAATTATGGTTCTCACCGGACTTTTATAACTTTAAATGCAAAATCCAACAGAGCTTTAGCTTATTGGAGGAGGATAAATCTAAAAACCATACTATCACCACTATAAAAAAAAAATAACCACACATATAATATATAAAACATATAATTTTTTTGAGACAAGACTTGCCTGTGATCCCAAACAGCATGCCAGATGACAGGATAGTGCTCTTGTAAACACAACAAACCACATCTTCCCGGGTTCAGCCAATACACCTGCCTCAGCCGCCTGAGTAGAAACAAAAAGCAATGCACCACCACACTGCTAATTTAATATGAGTGAGGTTTCCATGTGCCAGAGCTGGCTCGAACCCTGACCTATTCGCCATGCTAACACACAATACGGCGGAGCCAACCGTACCCGGCCCAGGTTTATATCTTAAACATTACCAATAAAAGCTGAGAAATTCTCACCATAACTGTAAAAATAATATTTATTTCTTTTTTTTTGTTTAAGAAATCCTTTCATTTTCCTAACAGTCTGCTTTGACAGATCTTTTAAAATTTCTATTAGAAAAAGTTATTTGCATGCACATTAATTTATTTACCTTATAAACTTTTAAAAATGATCTTACTATTTTTAGTTAGAAAAGTTTATGCTAATAGACTATGGAATGGGAAGAACCCCCTATAATAAAGTTTAATCTGAAAATGATTAGTGTGATGATAAAATAACAGATATATGCATACATTCAAACATTTCACACATGGAAGTCTAAAAGAATGCTTTGAAATTCTGAATTATCTTATGATGATTTGATTATACAAGAACAGAACATGTAAATACTATCTGTACTCTGTAAACACAGGAAAAAAGGTGTTTTTATGGTACCCAAATAGTCATTTGTTTTAATATAAGAAAAAAAAGTCCTAATAATGAGAATTGAAAACAACAAAACAGGCTATAGCAAAAAGTAACAAAGATGTTTAAACATGAAGACTAGGTGACGATTTTTCTGAGTTCTAGTGATGGGAAGTCCAATGACTGAATGACCTGACTCCTCCTTTCCCCTTCCTTAGAGTTTTAAGAACTGTTAAATCTATTCCGCAATAAATTTCAGCATGGATCTTTATATAACTGCAATTTTCAAGTTTATAAAAACTTACTTAAAAAGTTCCGTGATATAATATAGAACCAAGAATACAACATCCATTTTCTCCCTCCCCTCCTCTTTTTAAACTCAAATACTAATCTTTTAAAACAGTTATTATTATTTAGAGATGGGGTCTCGCTATGTTGCCCAGGTTGGTCTCAAACTCCTGGCCTCAAGTGATTCTCCTGCCTTGACCTCCCAAAGTGCTGGAAGTATGAGTCACTGTGCCTGGCCTTAAATATCTAATAAGATGGGGGCATAATTATTTTTTATATATTTTGTGTATATGGAATAGGGTATTTTTCCTACAAACTTATTATGTAAAAAAGTTTATTATGCCAAAAATGTCAGTACTTAAGCCTTACTTCTTTATCTATATATAGAAGAAAGAAGTAACATATATATAAATTGAGATGAAGTCTTGCTCTATCACCTAGGCTGCAGTGCAGTGATGCAATTATAGCTCACTGCAGCCTCAAGCTCCTGGGCTTAAGTGATCCTCTTGCCTCATCCTTCCAAGTAGCTGAGACTACAGGTGCAGGCCACCGTGCCTAGCTAAATTTTTTTTTTAAGTTTTGTAGAGATAGGGTCTACTAGCCTGTTGCCCAGGCTAGTCTTGAACTCCTGGGCTCAAGTGATCCTCCCACCTTGGCCTCCCAAAGTGCTCGGATTACAGGCAAGAGCCACTGTGCACAGCCTTACTTCAATATTTAAAATAAGAAATTACTAAGAGTTTTCTTACACAGATGAACATTTCATGATGTTCATAAAGATAATTGAAGAGTACTCAGTTATCAGAGCAAAAGTTAAAGATGCAAATATTTAGCTGCTGAAAAGCTTATCAGTTGGTAATTCATATTCATTTTAATTTCTAAATTAGGTTCTCTCTTCTTTATTACCTGATATCTGACAGTTGCAATTGATGAGACAGTTCATCTTTTAAACGATCTAGTTCTTTTCTAAGTGGTAAACTGTTCTTTAGCTTTTTAACAGCACTTTTCCCATTGTTATCTAACCAGGATCTAGAAGGAAAAGAGAGAGAGGGAGATATATATATGTATATATATATACACACACAGACTCTTTATAATACTAACCATAATATAAGTATTTCTACTATTAAAAGACACATGTATGCACTTGCATATTCACAATAGCAAAGACTTGGAATCAACCTAATCAATAGATTGGATAAAGAAAATGTGGTATACATATACGATGGAATACTATGCAGCCATAAAAAAGAATGAGTTCTTGTATTTCATGGGAACATGGATGAAGCTGGAGGCTATCATCCTTAGCAAACTAACACAGGAACAGAAAACTAAATACTGCATGTTCTCACTTATAAACAGGAGCTAAATGATGAGACCACATGGACACAAAGATGGGAACAACAGACACTGGGGCCCACTTGAAGGTAGAGGATAGAAGAGAGGATCAGTAAAAACAACTATAGGGTACTAGGCTTAGTACCTAGGTAACAAAATGAACTGTACAACAAACCCCTGTGATGAGAGTTTATTTATATAACAAACCTACACATTAAAAAAAAGAACCTAAAAGTTAAAAAAAATTGTACTAAAAAAAAAAAGGACACATACATTATCTTAAAGCAGCCCCAGTGTTAAACCGAGTTTTCAATCAAACCTTTACTTCTACCTATTCTTTTTCAGAAATACCTACTTTTAAAATAAGTTGCTTGGAGAACTGCCAACACCTGTCAAATCATATTCTATGCAACTTCCTTTGCATATTAAAAAATTAAATTTTAATTATATCAAACCTGTCACTAGATTTCTAGATATAATTTTTTTTAATTAAAAATACTTCAAAGTGTGTTTATTACAACCTTCAGTAAGCTATACTAGATCTTCACTGATGTCAGTCATACACATATGGGAGGGTAGAACTAATACTAATTATGGAATAAGTGACCAAATATTATAATAGAGCTAAAAAGGTGTAAAAGTCAAACTCAACAGACATATCTGATGAGACTAGTGACAATTAAGAGGCAATGGGTCCTGATGAAGGAATATGAAAAGATTACTTTGTGGATTCTAGCTGGGTGGACTCCAGTTTCTGCCTTTTTAGTCTTGGATACTACTACCCTGAGCTCCCAATGCTTATTCCCTCATCCCTGTAACCTAGTCCCTCTGACTGGTCAGACCTTACCAATCTAGTCATTTTGCCACACCCTCCTTCCAGGAGGGCCTCTTCACTACCCTGGTGCTCAGTGACACCTCCATTCCTTTCCACCCAACCAAATGTCCAGTTTCAGTCTTGTCTCAACTATATCAACTCTATAATAAGCTCAGCAGAAAGATGTTCTCTAAACCTGTATTTCTTAGAATGTTTACCTCAATAGTCTTACAAGAACTAAGTATCAAAAATGCTTTGGCCGGGTGTGGTGGCTCAAGTCTGTGATCCCAGAACTTTGGGAGGCTGAGGTGGGCGGATCATGAGGTCAGGAGTTCGAGACCAGCCTGGCCAACGTGGTGAAACCCCGTATCTACTAAAAAATACAAAAAATTAGCCGGGCGTGTTGGCGTGCACCTGTAATCCCAGCTACTTAGGAGGCTGAGGCAGAAGAATTGCTTGAACCGGGAGGCGGAGGTTGCAGTGAGCTGAGATCACGCCACTGCACTCCAGAGCTTGGGTGACAGAGTGAGACTCCGTCCAAAAATTAAAAAAAAAAAAAAAAAAAATCTTTAAGGCCAAACAGCTGAAAGCCTGTGTGGCCTTCTAGAGAGCAGCACCACCTCTGTAGAAACCGTCTCTCACTTGGTGCTATAATCATGACACAAGGGTGCTTGCTTGTTAGTGCTCAGGGTCACTGGCTACCCAAGGGAAGTCCAGAGAAATGAGTGACCTGGATGGAGTCCTGGGAGGCTGACGAGCTGCTGCAGGAGTGGGTGGTGAGGGGGCAGGGACAGAAAGGTAGTGACTCTGGGCTGAGGGGAACATTTCAGATTCCAAAACAAAGTGGTGGGGAGTGGGCCCTAGGCATTACTATGCAAGAGAAAACTCCAGGAAAACCAGAGGTTCCCTTTCTTCTTCTTATTTTTTTGTACAGACTAGGTCTCACTTTGGTGCCCAGGCTGGCCCCAAACTTCTGTGCTCAAGTGATTCTCCTGCCTCGGCCCGCCAAAATGCTAGGATTATAGGCATGAGCCACCATGCCTGGCCATTTTTTCTTAAAAAATTTTTTTCAATTGGCTATGCTAATCTTCTCTGTATTGTTCCATTTTTTTTGAGATGGGGTCTAACTATGTTGCCCAGGCTGGAATAGATTGGTGTGATCATGGCTCACCACAGTCTCGACCTCCTGGGCTCAAGTGATCCTCTAGCCTTAGCCTCTCTAGTAGCTGGGACTATAAGCATGTGCTACCATGCCCACCTAATTTTTAAAAATTATTATTTGTAGAGATGAGGTCTTGCTATGTTGCCCAAACTGGTCTTGAACTCCTGGACTCAAGTGATCTTCCTGCATTGGCATCCCAAAGTGCTAGCATTAAAGGCATGAGCCACTATACCTGGCCTCATTCCATTTTTAGTGTATGTACTGCTGAAGGGAGCACTAGGTTCCTTAATAGTCACTTTATATGTTTTAGATGTTGTGATCTAAAGCATTTAAAAAATTATCAAGTTTAGAATACTGAAAATGACAAATCATTATGCATCTATTAAACATTTATCCTGAATGCCTGACATTGTGTTGTGTTGGAATTAAAAGGAAGATAAAGTCCTTGTTTTAAAGGAAGACACATTTAATAAGGAATATAGAGATAAGTAATTAGAATAGAAGAAATTCTTCCTGGAAGATTCTGTAGAACAGGTAGTATGTGATCTGGAACCCAAAAGATGTATCAGATCTTTCCAGGTAGGTGAGAGAGAATGGCATGTCAATCATAATAGTGCACAAAGATCTATGAGATGAGCCAATATGCCCAGATGACAGGATGCTTAGAGGGAGAGAAGGGCATAAGAGACTGGAGAGGGACTACGGGTAAAGTGGGGTCAGACCATGAAGGGTCTTACACACTGAGAAAGGGAATTGTAAGTTTATCCTCTAGGTAAAAGCGTTCAATGTTTTTGTTTTTTGTTTTTTTAAATTCACTGACTTTGCATAGCAATTAATAATCCTTCCTATACCCTCTTTAAGAATACTAGTAAACATTTTGTCACTTCTGCATGGCATGTGATTAAGCAGGTAAATATATCTTAATTTATATCACTACTATTAGATATGGCATTACAATTTTCCAACTTTTCCACACTTATTAAGTAATACATATTGTTCAACTTACTTTAAATCATGTAAGAGAAAGCACGATTTATTGACATATGAATTATCAAATGACACACTATGTTTGGTTTGGGGCCCAAATGTTTTGCAACATAGATTCAAATATGATCTTATAGATTCATGAATTGATTTTTGGAATTCTTACATTTAATGTATAAAAATCAACTGGTCTAGCTTAACAATATTTGTGTTTTGTTTCTAAAAACTGAAGTAAAAACAAAGACTCTCAACATGGTTTTTGTTTTTTTTATTATTATTTTTTGAGACGGAGTCTCACTGTGTCATCCAGGCTGGAGTGCAGTGGCATGATCTCAGCTCACTGCAACCTCCGCCTCCCAGGTTGGAGTGATTCTTCTGCCTCAGCCTCCTGAGTAGCTGGGACTACAGGTGGGCACCACCATGCCTGGCTAATTTTTGTATTATTAGTAGAGACGGGGCTTTACCGTATTGGCCAAACTGGTCTTGAACTCCTGACCTCGTAATCCACTCACCTTGGCCTCCCAAAGTGTTGGGATTACAGGCGTGAGCCACCGCTCCCGGCCATGGTTTTTAACATATACAGATATAAAGATACATGTTTCCTGGCTCTGGCCACTGAGAGGATTAGTAGTAACTGAGCACATGTAGCACTGAGATGCTGGTGTCTATAAACCAATCCCTACTAGAAAGAGCCAGAGCTTCCTGGCAAAACTCCTGAATCAAACTTTGGAGCAGGAACAGTACAGATGAACCTGGAACAACTTAGTGAACCAGAAAGTAAGGGAATAATAGGAAAGATGGGAACATAGGCACTTCATATAGTCCCCATATGAAGAGATGATGAAATGAAGAAATCAATATGTGGCAACCAGCAGAGTAATATGTGATTCAAGCAAGAATCATCAATGAATATTAGAGCAAGTGAGGTAGTAAAAATCTAACGAGTAAAAGGATATTTATATAGCCCTAAATATCTCCTTAACAGAAGCTAATTAAAGGAAAAAAAATCAGAACTTCCTGGAAGAAATTAGTATCATTAGTAATGGGTTACATAACCATCCCATGCCTCCTACATAATCCACTGAAAACACCACAACATCATTTCTGGGGTAGGCCTGTGAAAAACTCTGACTGTAATTATGAGGAAACATCAGATAAACAAATGGTAAGACATTCTACAAAATAATTGGCTTGTATTCATCAAAGTAATGAAAGACAAGAACACACTGAGGAACTGTTCCAGATTAAAAAAGACTAGAGAGATTTGACAACCAAATGTGGCTCATGATTTGGGATTTTCTTTTCCTAATAAAGGGCAGCGCTCAGAAAATGAGTGACATTTGAATAACATCTCGGGGTTAGCTAACAGTATTGTCATAAGTGTTAACTTTTTAATTTTTATTATTTTCCAAGATGTTTTTATATTTAAAAAATGTACAACCTAGGTATTCAAGGGTAAAGGGACATTGTGGCTGCAACTTACTCAAATGGGTCAGAGAAAAAATGTGTATAAATATACATATATAATTTCAATATTTAAATATATATATAATGATAAAGCAAATGTAGTACAAAGTTAACATTTGAGGAATTTGGGTGGAAGTTACATGGGACTTCTTTATATTATTTCTGCAAATTTTCTTTCTTTTTTTAATTTTAGTCTCTACCTTTTTTATTTTAGAGACAGGGACTTGCTCTGTTGCCCAGGCTGGAGTACAACAGCACAATCAT